AACAACTTACAGATAGCTATGATCATGAACACCCATTCTCATACTAGAATAATAATGTGACAGTTTATACAAAATATATATATAAATATATATATAAATACAAAGAGGAAAGGCTAGAATTGATTCTTGTTTTTTTTTTCACTCTCAAACACAAATGAATAAGTCTCGTACTCATTTATTAATAAATAGATCTCCTTGTAGACATTGACATTTTATGCAATTAAGATTTATTCACAAGATTATTATGACTGTCATTGTGAAATTAGACTATTCAGAGTGCTAAAAGAAGACAAGAGGACCACAATTTCACATGGGGTAATGATACATCCCACTAAAAGTGGTGCTCTAAAGCACCACTAATGAGTTGGCAAGCATTTAAAAAAAAAATAAAAAAAAAAATAAGACACAAGCAGTGGGCCCCGTCCATTGCCACATCACTGTCATGGAGCAGTTGTTAAATAATTGTTGGTTTAGTGAACTGATTTGTGTAAAAATTGGTTTATAAAGGAAAAGGTTTTCTCTGTCGATTTAGTGTTAAAAATGATGAGGAGCATGTGGTAGTATGGAGCAAGGTTAGTTCGACAGAAAATATGAAAAATTGTAAAAATTTGAAGGCTTTTAAGTGATGAAGCAATTGCAGCAGTAGTTAGAGGTTAGTGACCTACAATTTCTAAGGAAAATGGGACAGTTGTAGCAGCAATTGGAGGTTAGTGGCCTACAGTTTTCGAGGGAAATGAGATCATGGATCAACGAAAGAGGAGAAAGAAGAATTATAAATGCCAGAAGTTTGCAGAGAGAATGGGGATCAACAATCCAACAATAACTTAGTCTTTATTTTAGGAGTAAAACCTCTAGATGCATATAGTTAGTACATCTATTAAAAGACTCAAATTTCATGAATCAAAGACCCAACAACGATATTAACATGGTAGTTAAAGATACAATTTCTACATGTGTGTTCAACACTCAAGACACAACAATCCAATTCTCAAACTTATTTCGAAAACACTTCCTTCATTTTCACAAAAACGATTCCATTTCCTTTTTGTTATCACAAAACCAACTCCACTAATCTTGTTTCCATAAAATCAACTCCAAAGCCATGGTTAATCCTTTAGGTATTAACACCCTTACCACACTCATTTTGGCAAAAGAGATTTACACACAATGGTCAACAAACCCCCCATTTTAATTTACCCAACCAAAATATAATTTAGGGCTTTTCTTCTATTAACTACAACATGCTAATTTATATTTATTTTAGCCAAGACAACAATCAATGAAGCCAACCCATTCTCTACACAACCAACCCTAGGTTTTTTTCATGATTTTCAAACAAATCCAACATGATACAATTTTCATGCAATACAAAAATTACCACATGTCTATCTATAGACGGAGTATTGAAAAAGAACAAGGAGAATCCCTACCTCGAATGTAGAACTCAAATAGAGAAGATGACCTGAAATCAAAGTGCTCCAAATCCCAATTTTCTTGGATCACCACGAAGCCCTCGATGATCAACACACTTCTTACTAAGGCCCAAGGTGAGGAAAACACTCTAGCTAGATCAATCCTAAGAGAGAAGTTAGGTTTTAGAGTGAGGTGCTCTCCAATGGAGGTTTTGAAAAAGTAAGAGAGAGAAAGGAAATCAAAAAGTGATCAAAAAGGTGATTCCACGGACTGATATAAAAACATGTCCGCTCGAGCGTACAACACCCCGCTCGAGCGTCAGACACAGGTTCACGCTCGAGCGTCCAAAGATTCGCTCGAGCGCCGGATGCACTCTCCCAGAATTTTCTGCAGACGTCCAAAATGCTGAGAGAAGGAAATTCACGCTCGAGCGTCCCAACTGCGCTCGAGCGGAAAGGCAACAACAAAAAATCCGCTCGAGCGTCAAATTGCCGCTCGAGCGTAGAGACCAAAACCTGGGCAAAAATTCTAAGTTTTAAAACACAGTCAACTTATTCCCAACTTGCTTAACACAACCCAAAACTCTAACACAAAGAGTAAGGGGTAGAAAAGAGGATAAGACAACAACAAATCTACGGAACCGAGTCCGGATTACAGTTAAACAATAACAAGGAATACCAGGGTCGCTATACATTACATCTTAAGCTCTCGGCTTTACAAATAACAAACATACACACATAAGACATAAATAAGAAGCCCTTGCTTCCCAAACGTCCACCCATGCTATTGCCTTTGAGGAAATATTTCACCTGCACCTGAAAATGATATTCCTGTATAGGGTGAGCCAACAGCCTAGTAGAAATAATCTAACATAATATATAAGGTTTAGCAGAGGTATAAATACCACGTATATAAACAACACCGATACGGAAGTATTCACAAGGCCTGCATATTCATATGCCACTCAGATCAATCTTACTCCATTTTCCTTCAATTCATTTCCAATTCATATGCACTACTCAATTCATGAGTTAAATTCTTTATCTTTCGACAACCAATATGAGATTACAACTCAATAGTTTTTCCATTTATGTAAAACACACATAAACCCTTCAAACTTGCCATTTTACAGATATTTCGTCCAAAGGAATCGGCACCCATTTATATATAAAATTTCGGGTCTTTCACCCAGAACACTCCGGCCAACTTGCTTTAAATGGAGTCCATCCCTTCTCTCCTCCCAAACAAATATACATATGCAATGTATTTATAAACAAAATCAGATATGGAGTACATCCCCTATCTCCTCCCAATAAACATACATATACAATGTATTTATAGTATGGTCATATTCAATGACAATCAACAATAGATTAGCATTAAATCGTCTAGTCCTCATACAATTTCTACAACAATCATGACTATTCTCCACCGATAGCCCAATACATTTATCTCTAGACAAATATTAAATCTCAAGATAAATAATTATTTAAAATTTCCAAAGCTGTGAGATAATACATATCCAATTTCACCACCTACATCAATAACCATTCAATTTAACATATTAAATGTTAATTCCAATTATTTATACAAAATAATCATTTTATCAAGTTATGGCAAAAATCCCCATTTTTCCAATATTGACCCAAACACCCAAAATCAACTATTTTGATACACCAAGATCTTATATTCAAACCCCATACTCATTTACCTCATATTCATCAAAAACCCTCTTTTCATTTCACATCCAAATCTTAGATTTGTCCAAACCACAACCAAATCTCATCATCTATACACAATAGCAAATAACTAAGCTAAAAGTCATATTAGAGTGTAGAAAATCCCTACCTTAAGTTTGACGAGGAAACAAGCAAAAACCCCGATTTTCGACTTGTTGGGTTCCGATCTCCACCGGTCAACACGTTACTCTAACCAAGCTCTTCACTTTGGCCTCAAGAACTTCAATTTCTTAACATCCATTCCCGATGTAACCTCACAAAGAATGAAATTAGAGTAGCTCGAATATGGATTGAGAAATGGTACTTCTTTTTAAAAGCTTAAAGAGTCACAATTTCTGAATTAAACATCTAATTCTTCAACTATCAATATCCCTACTCCATTTCGTTCTCTGACAAAATTTAGTGCCAAAAACTAGCATACACAGCCGCAGGGAGAAAAACAGACCATTGATGTTTGTTTACTTTTCTTCAATTAATGACTATCCAAGTCCCAAACAGTCCTTCGGAAAATAACAAGAATACACACTGAATTAAGGATGGCTCCACTTGAATTTTTTCAAAGAATATACACTGTATCCTCGTGTATCATACTTTTATCATCCCCGAGTTTCTCTAACAGAAACATGATCTCTGCCCGCGAGTAAGGTACAGCTGACCTGCTGTTGACAGTAGTTTCAATATCTGGAATAGATATGCGATTCCAGTGATATTCCCGCACATGCTCTATAGCTTTGCTTGGTGCAACCCGAGTCACATTAACAAGATTGCCTCTAAACAATCCTTTCCATCCATCAGTTTTCGTAATATTATGGACCACTTCAGTAGTAGTATTGCCACTACTCCCAACCATCAAATGTGTCCTAATTGCCTCCAACCCCGCTTATCAACCTCCTCAATGAAGGATTTGCAATCTCGATTTTAAGTTTAGTCCGACCCCTTCCTCATCTATCAATTCTGGAACACCAACAATTCGAAAACCTTCTGGGGAAGATACATATTTGACATATAAATCTGTGTAAGGTACCTTGAATCCACCATTGTTGTCTCGAGAATTTGGTGAATTAGGTGAAATGCCAAAACCCATATTACCCACTTGTCCAACACTAGCAAATAAGCCTCCTGGGTGGAAAGAACCCTCTGGGAGACTCCATTGAAGCCCCAATCCAGAACTTGAGAAAAACCCATCTTTTTTGACCTCCAAAACTTGCAAATCTCTTCTACCCATTAATCAGAATCTCGTGAAAAGGCCTCTGTCTAGGGTTTAAAACGCAGACGAATCCATTTTTTTTTCAAGGTTTTGAGAGATTCGAGAGTGATGAAGAAGGAAAAGATTCGATTTTAGGCAAATGGGTATTCAAAAAATCCATTTTTCACAACTGGGTGCTCGAGAAAACTAATGGAATAGATTCAATTTGAAAAGAATAAAGCAAGCAAAGAGCTGTTTGGAGATACAAGATATTCGGGTGATGATAAAAAATAAATATGGGTTTGAGAGAGAAAGAGAGAGAGGGGGGTGAAGTGGGGGATATGGTTTTGAAATGAGGAAGAAAAACGAGAACCAGGTGGTGGAACGATGGAAGTAATAGAATCGTTCCGTTCGGGGAAGTTTTGCCGATCCAAACTCCGATCCGGAACTGTACCGGAGGGGCACCGGCCGGTCTACGTAGGAGAAGAGATGGAACGTTCAAGATCTGATAGTAGGTATCGACAAGGCTAATGTTTGAAACATATAAACACCCACCCAAAATTATTCAATCTGATGTTTACCATTTTGGGTTGGTATTACAACAAACATCTTCTTCTCTCTCTTTTGCCATTGATAAATAGTTGCAGAGTGCAGCCAAGACATTACATATATAAAAAGTAATTACAAGGAAAATAGTGATGCTGAAAAGTAGAAAAGGGAAATAAAAGAAAGGAATAATCATGAGTCAGAAGAATATCAATGAAATTACATTGGATTGGAGTTGAAGATAATAGCTGGAACAAAAAATAACAATGACAATGCTCCCAGGAGCACAATCTGCCATGACTTACTTTTTTGCTCAGTTGAGTTTTATTATTTGATTGACTTGGATGAGTTGATTGGCTCCTTCGTAGCCAGATACCACCAAAAGACATCAATGCTCCCAAGAGTAAGACTGGGCCGATCCTTGGATCTCCCAGGCGATTGTGGATTCCATTCATGATGCTACCAATTCTCTGTTTCATTCCTGTCCCTTTGGATAGAATGGTTTTGGCACCTACTGACCAAATAGGATCTGCATCTTCGGGAACAAGTGCAGGAGTTTTTGCTCTCTACGATGAGACAAAACAAAAAAGGTTTTAGCAGGCAACATCTCGTATGAAAGAGATGCAACTCTAAGCTCTAGAGCGTATACATCCTTAAAAAAAACCACAAAGTTCAATGAGTATCAATCTAAGAAGCATGGACACTTCTAAGAACGTAAAGTGCCGTGTCCGACACTCATCGAATACCTATGTAGCACGGGTGTGGGTATGGATACTGGAACGAGTACGCCAATACGGCAAAACCTTTCCAAAAAAAAAAAAGGATACGGGTACGGTTGTGGTATGTCAACAAATTTTTTATTTTTCATAGTTTATTGTTTGAGATTCAATCTACAAATCAAAGTTCAATACCAAAACTAAAAGGAAAATTACAAAACCAAAAGAGAAATCACAGTTTAACAATACCAATATCAAAGCAAAGTCCTTATGCCTATGAAGCATAGACACTCCAAAATCAGTGTCGTGGCGGTGTCCGACACGGGGACACGCCGGGGACACATTTGGCGTGTCCCTTTAATTTAATGATTTTTTTGTAGGGGACACGGCAGGGACACGGCGGGGACACGCGTGTCCATATGGGGACACGGCATGGGACAACGGGGACATGGCATGGGACACGGCAGGGCTATTTTTTATTTTTTTTATTTTTTTTAATCTTTTGCCTCTTATTTAGTGCTTTTGCGAAAAATATTGTTGGATGTTGAATGTTTTTCCCTTCTCGTCTTAGTTCTTGTTATTGTTGATTATGACTTTTTTGTTAATAGATGATATATTAATTTGTTTAAATGTAATGGTTATGTTTATTCAATTAATGTTACTATGTTAGTGCTTGTTAATTTTAATTTAGGATGAATGTAATATGAATCTACATAACACATAAAAATAAATAAAATAAAATTCGCCGTGTCCCCCACCGTGTCCGTGTCCCCAATTTTTGAAAATTGCCATGTCCCGTGTCCGTGTCCGTGCTTCATAGCCTTATGCTATTTTAATGCCATTAAATAGGAAAAATTACAAAATTAAGTTTCATTCCAAAAGCAAATTCGAAAAATTTGGAAAGTTGAAAAATCAATTTTCACTTCCATCGACTTCAATTCATCTTTGACACATCAAGAAAAAGATTTGCAATTTCAAGTAAATCATAACTCTCTAATAAATTAAATGTATCACTATCAATGTCCCATAGCTTGGTGTACCCCCGATGTACCCATCATACCTATGAAGTACCCACCTGCCCTAAAATGTATAAAAACTACCCGGTACGTATTTCATGTACCCGATACGCAAACAACCCTAACGGTACGCGTACCAATACCCGTTTTGAGTATGACAATATTTTCAGAGTACCCGTGCTTCATAGTTGGACACTTTCCAACACTTAGACATACATGAAACATATTACGAGTTTGAATAAATAACTTGGAATCCAATGATACAACAAAAATTAAGTAAATTTATACCTATTCTCCTCCTTTATACTTCAAAAATGAATATCTTTTACTTAAATATTTATATATAAGACATAATAATTATTTATCCTTATATATGACATACATTTGATAAATACATAAATAAATTATATATTTTGCAGAAGTCCCCAACATGTCGTGTCCTACATTTTTTGAAAATTTACATGTCCGTGTGTCGGTGTGTCAATGTCATGTCACATGTTCGTGCTTCTTAAGTATCAATAATGGAGTAAAGGTAATTAAACCCCTCAACAAAATACACAAATTCATCCATTCAAGCACCAAAAGGAAGCTTAATTCTAAAAAAAGTTTGTCTATGCTAACTTACAAAAAAGGGGAGCTCCCTAGAGTCACCATCTTCGATTATCTAAGAGATCCACTTGATGATCTGCCAACCAAATAAATAGAAACAACTCAACGTGAAAAGGTACACTAAATCACAAAGAATGTTGCATTTGCGTTAACTGCTCAATACAGAGTGAAATATAACTCAATAATTAAACCATGTAGTAAAATCCATCTCACAACAGATAGAAGGCCAAACCTCTGAACTTTCTTCAGAACCATTGTACCTCGCAACAAGTTGTGATGCAGGATCCACATCATCATTCAGAAATGCCTCCAATATGTTTTTTGGCTTTTTTTCCTCAATTTTATTACTATCTTTTGTAGCATTCCTTTTGTAACGTACAATAATTAACTGCGGTATATCCGTTATATCCCTCCTAGGTCCACATGTTTCATAGCTGTTCTCTGTTTGAGTGTGGAAAAAACAATATCGCTGGAGAAGAAGAGAAATTTAGTGACTAACACAGTTGCAAAAGATCATTTGTTAAATGTTCCAATGTAGACTAGTCCATCATGATCATTATTAATTAAAATATTATAATCCATAATAGTAAGCACACATACTTCTACATAAAAAAGAAAAAAACCTACAAATGGTTCTAGGAATAACAGTGGAGAGATGTTAAGATCATTCCTTCAACTGAATAAAGAAGAAGCAAACAACCTCTAATCATGTGTACCATGCAGCTGCGATGACGTCTTACACAATTACTATTGGAGTTTATGAATAATTTTCACCATTGCAATACATGCCTCGTATACGCAACCTGGTGAACTTTAGTTTATTTTTATTATATAACACCTTCTGTGAGAGGAATCACATTCTGTTTCCTACACTACATAGCTTGACCTATAGAATAGTATTATTTGTATAGCTGGAGAGGAATCACATTCTTCCTACATATGGCTTGATCATAGAAATTCATTCTATGTACTTCTTACAGTTCTTTGTATTTCATTCTTTGAGATGAATCACATTTCCCTGTACATATAGCTCGATCCACAAAATAGAATCAACCGACAAAAGTACAATTTTTTTGTCAAAGATAACCTGCAAAGTTTTTAAAATGACCAAGAAGCATAATGAAAAACTTTCACCTTTCTTTGGTTTAATTTATGAATAGCTTTTGAGTCTTTTGTTTTTCTAAAAAAAAAAAAAAATTTGGGGTGGAGGGGGGGTTTTTAGTGAACTTTTTTCATATTTTATTTTATTTTATTTTTTACTTTTTAGATGCACCTAATCTAGATGTACTTAAAAAATAAAATATTTGTAAAAAAAATATGAAATTGTCTTTTAACATTTTTCAGATTTTTTTTCAAATATTTTAAATTTTAAGTGTGTCTAATTAGGCAAATCTATAAAAAATAAAAAATAAAAACTAAAATATGAAGGAAAAAAAAAATCGCTGAAGACCAAAAAACAAAACAATTATGAGTTCCAAAAGTTGGTTTGGAACTCATATAGGATAACAATGAATGATGAATACTTTTAATTGGCCATGTCTCACATGGAGAACATAATCTGCTACACCAAACAATTGAGGTGTACATGCTTTGCACTAGACAAGCCATGGCTAAATATGTATATACCAAAGCCTTCAAATGTGAATGCGCAAGCCTCAAGGCATCAACACATACGCATTTTAAATTTCAAATTTTTATATTTAGTGAGAAAAAGTTATTTAAAACTAAATAAAAAAAACAACGTCCAATTAGTACATATTAATTTTAATTTTATTCAAAATTAAATATAAATGTATAAATACTTTTCTCCTCTAGGCGTTGAACATTTCATTACAGAATAGGAAACTCGCCCTCATCGAAGATGAACTTGACATTCTTAGTTTCAGCTATTGAACTTCTTACTTGAGTCTTTGCTTTATATTTTTCTTGGTTTTTTCCATGGAATATGATGGTTACAGAAGACTCTTCTTTTTTATGTTTAAATATAAACTAGGCATTAGAAGAAAAGAAAAAAAAAAAACTAGGTATTATAATAAGCTTAACAACAACCCAAGACAAGCTCTCCGTATACGTATTGTTACATGTGACTGACATACGAGTATCGGGTGCAGGTGTGTATCCAAACATCAAACCTTCATAAATTTAAATCTTGGGATACGTATCCAAAATTGGGATATGGGCACTGGGACATGTTATATGCACATATTATATTTTATATAATATTCTCGGATGAGATGTGAGAAATTGTGTAGAAATATACTAGAAATTAAATCAGATATAGGAAAAATATGAAATTTCTATATCTAATTCATGTGAGAGGCTAAAAATATTACTTTACTAACAAATGTGAGTTTCTTCTTCTTCATGTATTGTCACAAATTAAAGTATCTGAGTGCCTAAATTGGGTACAAGTGTCGGACACATATCTCACACCCTTACCAATGTCATATCCAGTGGACACAGGTACTGTGGGGGAAATAGAAGAATCATGTAACACAGCTCCTCATATTTATGTGCAAAAGGAGTACAAGGTGCACACGTGTTGCACGCCTCAAACTGTGATGTGCAAGTCTTTGGAGAGTTTCGCCCAAAAATAATAAAAAGAACTCAATGCATTTTACCTTAGCCTCGCCTCGAAGCTAGCCTCAATACATATTTTAAATACACAATATATTTGAATAAACATGATATATTGTAGGATTTGTGGCTCAAATCATACAATAACTTTCTAAGATTACTAACACATATTTTGAAAGATTATTAAAAAGTACTAGAATTTATTTATTTATTTTAACGAAAGGAAAAGAAGAGCCATAAAAATGAGAATTACATCCTAAAATTCCAAATCAGTGACAGGCCTCTATAATCTTCTCAAAAAACCATATTCAGATGTCAAAAGGTTTATGAATGCAATCAGATTCTTGGACATTTCCAAAAGTTTCAAGTAGAAATTCTCAGCTGCTTACAGCACGAGAGTATAGCGCATAAGGAAGTTGTGACGATGTTTTTTGATACCCTGCATTTTCAGGCCAAAGGTCACATGTGGTTTTCAGAATTTATCCTGCTATTAGATTGAATGATTTGTAATGTAAATAATTTCACATCATTTTATGGCAGTATAACACTGTCAGAATTTATAACAGCAATAATCACTGACCACCTCTTCCAACTTAGCCACCATTTGGATTAAGATACTGGCACTTTGGCAAAAATCTTCCAATGCCAATAGTGATCCCAACTAAGTTCGACAAAGAGATTAAATTTCAGAATAAATTGCTACCAAGTACCATACATATAGCATCACATACATGACCCTCAAATTAATTAATCCATTCACTACTACAAATGTGAATTCAACTACAACTAAACTTGGGAAACATTGACATGCCAGACAAACAAAAAATGACACTTACTTGTTGGGCTTCCCCATCAAGCCAGGTAAATGTCAACCGCTTTTCCTTCAGTGCAACAGCCGCTGACGACGATGGCTGATCGTTATCAACTGCGGACAGTGCTTCTTGGATCCTGCGCAGAGTCTTTATCAGAGTAATGTACTCCATTTAGTAAACTAGAAGAATATACTAGCATTTCGGCATGCATACATGAATCTTTCTGTTATATTCAATGTTAAATTTTGAATGAGCACACTTTCTGTGTCATAACTTCAAATGAACATCAGGATCTTTGCCAGGATTCAACAAATAAAGTTCTTTCACATTCTGTGTTTTCTTTCTAACCGCTTTCTTTGCTATTTTCCTTAAGTTACCTTTTCTATTCTTTATTAGGTAGTTGTCTATTTTAATTTATGAATATTTGTCTTCAAAGTTTAGAAAAATCAGTTGGCATCACTAGACAATGATTTCCCAACAAAGTAGCTAAATCATTTCTAGGAAATAACTACCAAGTGGGGATTTAATTTAACATAACAAGCAGGGCAAACAAACTCACTGCACGCATTTTGTTGAGTTCTGGGCTTGATCTTCCTGATAGAATAACACAGTACCAAATTGCCGTTACATTTCCAGCACGAGAATAGCCACGGGCATGACAACCCAGCTCCATGGACGTCACACTTCTCAATTGTGGAAGCTCTAAAAATAAGGAATGGAGAATAAACCAATGTGTTACAGTTAGTTTCACAAAATCTTAGAATGTATAATCGGGTTTGTGTTATACATGTATATGTAAATATATCCCAATAAAAAACAACTCCTATCCATCAATATATTCAAAATTGTCGACAAAATTCAAAAAAGGATTCAATGAAGGCTCAACACCCCTCAAGATCCAATTGTAAAAAATGGTTAGAATTCTACTCTTTAAAACAAAAATGAAAGCCTTAAGACTCTTAACACCATCAAAATTTCTTCTATTAAGCTCCATCTAGATGCTCCAAAATAAAATGGGAGGTCCTAACTGCCAATCGCCTCTTTTTTCTCTTTTCAACTCTGGCTACCCTCCAAGAAAGCAAATGGTCCCAAACATTTGAAAGGAAGACCCAAGCCACATCAAACAAGACTAAAATAAGGCCCAAAAGTCCCAAAAGATTTGATCCCTCTCCCTCCTCACATATCACTAACAGCAACCCCTCTGTCAATTGCTATCTGTCTCGAGCTAGACAGACCAGCTCCAAATTCTCTCCACAGCAAAGATGTCACCAAATGGGGTTTTTGGCATCCCCTATAATAGCATATTTTTTTATTTTATTTTTTATCCTTTTTAGGTCACATCACCTCTCTATTTTTCTGCACATCTTAAAGGCTATAGGACAAATTAAATTTAATAAATTCTAATCATTTTTTACTACAACATCACATGTCAATTTAGATCTTCCCCTCCTAACGTTTTCATTTATGGTGATCATCTCACTTGTACTTACTGTTGCATCTACAAGTCTTTGTTGCACATAACAACCATCTTTATCAGTGCAAGGCTACCACCTTTTTTAAAATAAAAAATAAATATATATATCAAACTCAACCTAAAATTAGTTCATCCAAAAAACCAACAAGGAATTCCCTAAAACAATCGCCAAACTCCAATTAATTAAAGGAATCACTAAAGGAAAATGCGTGAGAGCTCGAATGTGTAGAGCTCGAATGGCTCGAAAATATTATCTTACCGGTAAGAGAATAAAAAAACACCCTAAAACGACGTCGTTTTGGGATTTCGAGCCATTCGAGCCATTTGATTTTCGAGCTACGTAGCAGTGCCGATCACTAAAACAATCACCCACTTTTTAATTCATGCACTCCAACCTTAAAATTTTTATAACACCACTACTTTCAAATACAACACAATATGCACAACGTTAAGGTTCAAACATTCACAAGTGGGGATCAAAAACCCTGATATTTGCAGTGAGATTCATTAACATTTCTACCTTTTTTACTTGTGCTCCCTCCCTCCCTGGGAACATGTTTTAAGCCAACCCAAAAATGTCAAGATTTCTGCTAACAAACCTGTGACTTTCTCATTGTTTTAATTAGTATATTCATTTTCAAACTTTTTTATGGTATATTGTAGCATTATTATTATTTTTTTAATTTAAGGAAGCTAACATATTCTGACTAAAGCGAAGAATTTACATATATGTAAAGGGATTTAAGCAACACAAAACTGACTCCTTTGCAACCCAGTGTCAGAATGCGGATTGGAAATTTTGATGAGACTATCCTGTGTTTTGCTCTTTCCTTTTATTTATCGTTTATCATTCGTGTTTTTATAGTTTAATATATTAAAAAGGTTGTATTTATGCCTTGCTTCATGGGAACAAAGAATGCTTTGTCTAATCTCTCGTCCATGATAACCATAATCTCAACATAGAACAACTTACGAGCATTTAGTAGATCACTGAAGTTGTAACGCCCTCGAAAATATAATATTAAACCCATCAAATAAGGCATTCATTGACATATGAAATAACTACATTCTTCTATTCATCAGAGTTTCATTACAAAAGTATTACATGTTAACAACAAAAGCAAAATGCCCTACGGGCTTACAGCTTTCCAAGTTAACACTTGGTTACAACTGTTTCAAGAACAGAGAAATGATTGGTACAGTTCCCAGAAAAAAAATATCAAAATATAATCTAGATTTTTTCCCTTTTTGCTGAAGAAAATAACTACATAAAGGACTCTAGTCAGTGGATAAAAAGACTAATGACAACAAGAACCTCCAAATAATCATGAAGCTAACAGTTTGCACTTGTCAATCACATGAGGTTTACTTGCACATTAGAATCACTGTAACAAGCCATTTACACAATGGTTGCACTCACTCAAGTAACATGACAAGGCAAATTTTGTTATAGTGTCAAGTCAAGGCCCTAGATTATAAAACTTGATAAAGTACAAACAAACAGCATTACCTTGATGTTTATTCTGTTCCATTATATCTACAAACCATGAATTGTTGGCAGGTCCTGCAGATAATGTGCACTGCTTAGCTTGTTATGTACACATTATTTATGTTAACTTGTTATGTACACATTATTTATGTTACAAAGAGTACCAAGAAATTCAATGAAACGAAATATAAAGAGAGTGACATACCATGGTACACAACAGGTTTAACACCATGTTCTTTTAAAAATACAATTGCAGGTGCAGATTCCACTCCAAACCTGTTGTTGATAATAAGAACACTATCAAGATCATACTCTATTTTGGAAAAAAAATTATGAAGCACCACGTTTTTTAAGGTGGCGTTTCACGATCAAGTTTCCAAAGATTGGAAGGGGAAAGGGAACCAAAATTAGTCCCCCGAAAAAAAAGTACAGTCTAGTATGCTGGTTAGAATAACCAATCTTTCTAACCAATAAGCCCATTCGCCTAATGCATAATTGACGAAGAAGACGAAAAAAGAACAGTTGATTCTTCTCTGAACTATTTAATGAGGAACAAAAAAATAGATGCCTTCCAGAAAAAAGGAACAAAAAAGTAGAAAAAGAAAAAGAAAATTTCAGAAAAGACATGACGATTAAATATGAAAAGTAGTGTTGTTAGAATCGTTATGAAAAACATATGCATTGCGGATTCATATGTTGGTAGATTGAATCGTGAGATGTGTTTTGCATTGTATCAATTTCATATTGTATCACAATTTAACATGTATTTCTTGATTAGCTATCAATACCTTCTCTTTCACCTTTAGCCCTATTAACAGCATTTCGCAATGTCAATTGCCATTGCCCGCACTCGTTGAACAATCCAAAACCATATTATCAAAAAAACCCATACCAAGGAGACCCAAATCCAAATAAACCCTAAAGCAAAAATGACTCTCATACTCCATTTGCTACAAAAAAATTGTGCAACTATCATGAATCTAATTCAGGTGAAAGAAACAAAGAGCTTACACACACAGACCATTTGGAATTGGGTTGAGACCCAAGATTTGGGCCAAAAGGCTTGTTTGGACTACGACCTCTGTTATCAGAATCTTACGATTCGCGATTCGATTCGTAATTTTTGCAAAATCGATACGAATCTAAGGGTGAATCTATTTTGGAACTGAATCTCTAGTGAATCGCACGATTCACAATCGATTCACGATTCGATTCACTTTTTACGATTCATGCAATTTTTAAAATTATTGTGTCTGATATATTTTCGACTCTATTTTTCCTCCATCTTTTTAGTAAAAATGACATACTACAACTTCTAATAGCGTTTAATACCAAAATAACCAGCATATATACATGAGTTGCTATTATTTTAGTGATCATGAAGTTTTTAATAGCATCCAATTAAATTTAGTCAGACCTAACATATTTATAACTTTTCTTCTCATTTTTTTTCCCTTTAAAAATCGTAATATATCTTCTAAAGATGTTTAAGATTAAAATTACACTATGAATTATCTATTGCTATTTTATTAAATTAAATATTACATCTATGAGGGAAATTATACTTTTTAAAATATTTTAGGCTTTAAAAAAATAGATTCTAAATGATTCTTTCTTATTATTTGCTAACTGATACTTAGAAAAGTATGTATGCTTATTGTCAAAATATCAATATCGTTGTTAATTATTGTTACTTTAGAAATTGATATTTTTTCTATTTGGTTATTATTTTTATTAAGAATGGTTGATAAGAAATATCTAAAAAAGAAAAAAAAGTAAGATGGTGATCTTACATAGGAATGTTTGTTAAATTCTTACTTATTAAACTATGTGATTATCATTCAAAATAACATTTTTATTGATTTAAGTCTAAATATTTTATATTCATAAGATATATTTAACATCTAAATGTGTAAATATATGTTTTTAAATAATTTAGAAGAAGTGACCGAATCTTTACGATTCACGATTCGATTCGATTCGATTCGCGATTCGGTACGAGATCATTTTGATTCACGATACGAATCCCGATTTGACAACTATGACTATGACCATATACCTCATACCAAGTATGTTTAAGCTATACTCATCATCCAAGTCCTAAAGAAAGTCTTTGGCTGCAAACTAGGAACCAAACGAACTAGCGACCAAGAAGTTGGGCTCAATTGAAAAACAAAAATCTTGTATTATTTTTGTATTTGCAATGAAATCTCATTAATCCTTCTGTTATATTAAATTTTGAATTTTCTTTCCAATTTCTTATTAGTTGGATATTTGGGTTTCTCATGAATGCATATTTACCTTTTTGTCGAATTTGTAAGTTTTTAGAGATCATTTTTCATGTCATTGGTTATATGCTTTAGTACTTCATTTTTTCAATATATTTATGTATCATATGAAAGTACTTTTTATTTATTTATCTGTGTGGGTATCTATATCATGCTTGGCACATGGCGAGCCCTACGAGCGTAACGTCATCACCATCACACATCCATGTGGCAGACCCCTGAGGCATCACGGTGAGTTGGGGTTGTATGCCTAGCCTAAACGCGAGCATGCACACTACCAAGTATGAAAAACAAGACTACAGCTCACCTAGAGCTCTCCATGGCCCTTCATGACTCATAAGAAATATATTCTCTATACACTCACCCCAACTCCATAGCAACATAGTTGGACCCTTGACTCACCTATGTTTACTTAGCTGTTTAAGATGAGCCATTGGCTCACCCATGCACTCACCCCCTTGGCTGCCTAGGTTGGGAGCAGGATCTAAGCACTCCCACTTGCGATCATTGGAGGATTATGGATTGAAGGCTAAGACATCGGGATCATCAAGGTCGTGTAACTGTCTCCCTGCAGTGACAGTTCCACCTTGACCTATAGAGAAAAGGGATGTTAACCTTACACTTATACCTATTGCATATACGATACGCCTCTCAAGATATCATACCTACACCTGCAACTCCTATGATGCAACCTTCCCAATGACCTGAATCATAATACACAGCTAGTAGGGCAAATATCACCCTCCTGTCAAGTTGAGGAAAACTTGCCACCTGTCTTGAGGTTACTTGGGCTCCAAAACTCCTAAAGTCTATGTAATGGCATCACAAGTGCAACCACAATCATAACAAGAGCAACAAGAATCATACAACATATACAAAGTGTTCAAGGTCTCTCACTGCCACCCCTTTCCTCTCTAAGCCTACCTTGGTCTTCTCCTCTTCCACCTCCGATGATCTCGGGCAATTTAAGTGCCCACCATCTTTCCAGAGGTCAATGACCGATCGCCTCTAACTTCTCTTACCCACAATCTGTAGTCATATATGTTAATGTATTTTATTATAATACATGACATGACATGAGACATGAGACATGAGACATGAGACATGATACATAATGCACAAAAGTGATATAACAATACATGACATGTATTCATCAACACTGACGAAAAGAATTTTCCTCACTTGATTTTCATCTAAAAACTCATTCTGTAATTTGCGTCACTTGATTTTCATCTAAAAACTTATTCTGTAATTTTATAGTCAAATCAAAAGCAAAATAGAAGAAACAAATATGCTTGGAGGTTGATTTCATAATCTTCACATAGAAATTTAAGGAGATGCCAACAAAAGCATGAAATGATACAGAACATTTGTGATACTAATTGAGATTACAAAACAGAAGAATGAAATGAAACTTTTAAAAGTTTGCACAAGATTTTTCAAAGGATTTGAAATATGAATAATCAGACCCTGACAGCTTTAACCCTGTGTAGCAACTGTCAAGCCCCTTCCAGAACCCCAAATCTTATGATGGGACTTGGCTCAAAATACATACAAGAGCTGGGTAGGGCTACAGGGAAACATCCTGAACATTCAAATGCCTTATATTTCATGAAATACTGAAATGAAAATTGTTATCCCCTTTAATAATACAACTGCATAGTGAAATTTAGAAAGACGTCGTTGAAAGAAAAAGTTCGTGAAAGTCTTTCCATGTGAGGCAAGAAAAACTTTTTCACTATCAAATTTGAGCTTGTCATTCTTCTTCGATCATATAGCTACCCCGGTCTTCTCCCATTTGATTATTGTATCCGGACTTAGGTTCTGTAGATTCTGTCATTGTATAATTGTTGTTGTTGTCCCTTATTTTCTCATTTGGACTTATAGGATGTGTTGGGCAGGTTTGTTTCAGGTTGGTTGGGTTTAGAAACCAAGTGTTGTTGTCCAGAATTTTGGATCTTCGCTCGAGCGAGGAGTTTGTCGCTCGAGCGAGCTGTTATTTTTGGTTCTTCGCTCGAGCCAGGGTTTGGTAGCTCGAGCGAGAGGTTGCATCTGATTTTGGACCTGTAGCTGTGCGTTCTTGGCTCGAGCGATCTTTTCTTTGCTCGAGCGAGTTAGTTCGTTCTTCGCTCGAGCGATAGTTCCTTCGCTCGAGCGTGTGTCTGGTTACAGACCTGAGGGTTTGAGTTCTTCGCTCGATCGAGTTTTCTTTCGCTCGATCAATTTCTTTTTTATTTAATTTCCAAATAGATTGTTAAGGTATAGTGGTTTCTTGA